CCCCTTCCTCGACCGCAGTGACTTGGCCACAGTGATCCATGCGACGGTCACCTCGAGGCTAGACTACTGTAACGCTCTCTACATGGGGCTGCCTTTGTCGCAAATCCGGAAGCTGCAGCTAGTGCAGAATGCTGCGGCCAGGCTGTTGATGGGTCTTCCTAGAAGGGACCACATCCAGCCTGTGCTGAAAGCGCTGCACTGGCTGCCAATAGCATACCGGATTCATTTCAAAGTGCTGGTTCTTACCTTTAAAGCCCTACATGGTCTGGGGCCAGCTTACCTAAGGGACCGCCTTTTCTCATATGTTCCCCCGTGAGCACTTCGGTCCGGGACCCAACATCTCCTGGCAATCCCAGGCCCCAAAGAGGCCAGGCTGGCCGCTACCAGGGCCAGGGCTTTCTCGGTGGCGGCTCCTACCTGGTGGACCGAGCTCCCGGAGGAGATCTGGGCCCTGCGGGACTTTGTGCAGTTCCGCAGGGCCTGTAAGATGGAGCTCTTCCACCAGGCGTATGAGGAGGAGCTGCCACTACCATCACCATTACTCCATCTTTACCTGGCCCTGGATGAGGGAACATCAGCGTTTCCCTGGAGCAGATGCTGCTGAATAGTTGAAATACGCCATCTGTGAAACATCATGTTGAACACCTAGAGCACTTTAGTCAATAACTTGTTAAAATTGTTTTTGTACTTTTGGGATTTTAAATGGTTTTATATATGTTTTATATATGTTTTATAATGTCGTTTGCCTCCATGTAAGCCGCCCTGAGCCCGCATCGCAGGGAGGGCGGGGTATAAATTGAAGAAATAAATAAATAAATAGTTAAAATAGTTTTTACTGTTACATAATAGGCTTTTGATGCGACTTGATCCTTATCTCTTGTTGTTGCTTAATGCTTTTGATGTTCATTGTTGTTAATGATGATTTAAAAACAAATAAAAACATATTTAACTAATTAACAAGGTATCTCCACAGTTTTAGAATAACTGCATTGGTTGCTAATTCCTTTCTGGGCCCAATTCAAAGTGCTAGTGATGACCTTTCAAATTCACAATGGTCTGCTTCTGGAGAACATGAAGGACTAGTTGCTCCGAGCGGTAGAGAACATTCACAGAGACCTTGCTCTATAACTCCATCACCCCAGACAAAGTTACAGAGACAAGGTCTTTTCTGTCGTGGGACTCAAATTGTGGAATACTCTCTCTCAAGTATTCCCCTGGTACCTAGCTTGTACATTTTACGTGAAAACATGTCTTTTTAATTGAATTGTTTATTATGTTTGAGAGTGTAGTTTTCTGTCTCCTTCTCCTGTGATCCTGAACTCTAGTTGTTTTAATCCTGCTGGGCTACTAATGCTGTTGAATATTTTTAATTAATGTTTTATTGGTTGCAAAATTAACATTTTGGTTGTTGTTTTTTTCTTTGCCCCCCCCCCCCCCCCGGTCTGGAAAACTGTGGTTGAAATGGAAGTTAAAATAAATAAGTCAATACATTTCTCATTCCTCCTTTTCTGTTTGTTTAACTAACTGAGGAGCTTTCCACTTAGAAAGTGAACAATGGAAAATCAATACAGTGCATGTTTGGTGTAGGTCTGTAAGTAGATGGATAGATCTATCCATGAACAGCAGGAACTTCCAGATTGTAGCAAGTTGTTGTCAGAAGCCTCTCATTATAATCAGGAATAAGGAAATTGATTGTCACAGACACTTAACTATCTAAGTAACATTGATGTGAGCTTTATAATGGCCCATCTTCACTAATTTGTATGTTATATACAATGCACACTCTACTAGGAAAACTGGCTGAAAGAAATTCATTTAAAAGTCAGATCAAAAGGTCTCCTAGCAATTTCTTTAGGGTCTTCTCTAAGAATGTATTAAGTTAATCCTTCAAAATTATTTATTTCCTTTGCTCTTGTTCTGTCAGTTGAGACAAGCATGAGTATTTCTGCTTGCTAGATTTACTTTTGTCCTTAATTCCATCCTTCTTGATACCAGTGGAGCATTATGGAAGAATTTTTTTAAAAAAGTGCAAAAGTCAGCTGTTACTAGTAAAACTGTCAAGACTGTGTCTACAGGCCAGGTTCTTCAGGACATTCTCTCTCTCTCTCTCTCTCTCTCTCTCTCTCTCTCTCTCTCTCTCTCTCTCCTCTCCCCCCTCTCATTAATACAATACAATAAATCTTCCTTCTTCAATAGAGATTGTAATGAACTTATCTATTTTGTGAATTAAAAGGGATTTTTGACATAATTAAAACACAGTCTGGTGCATATTGTCTTGGCTGCTGATCTTCCATTTTTTTACAAAAATGCATCCACAATTATATCTGATGCACAGTTAGACATACTAGTATAATTCATATCACACTAAACCTTGTGTGGCTAAAAGCTGATTTTGGAAGGGCATATATGGATTGCAGCTAGTATACTTTAAGAACTGCCTACTCCCATAAGGACCTACCTGATCACTATACCCTAGGGTTCTGCGAAGGTATCCCATCTGGGCACTACCCAGAGTTAAACCTGCTTAGTTCCAGCAGGTTTTTGTATCACATGCCTTCAAACTGTACTCCAGGAACATGAGTTAGGGCCTACCTAGCTATTACAAAGCCCTCCTGTCCCCCATTTGTCAACCTCATTCCTGTGGGCCAAACATGCTTGGAACTCAATTCCCAGGTGCCCAGTTTACGTTGGGGCTGGTGTATGGGGAAAGGGAACTTAAGCCTTCTTCCTATGCCACTGCTCATACCTGAACTGGTGCTGGGGAGCCACTGTTTTCCCCATGGGGGTAAAAAAGTAAACAGTGCCTCCAAAGAGTAAACAGTGACTGCCTGGAGTTATTTCAGGTTGGAGATACCTGAAATACGTTTGCCATGTCCAGCCTGGTAAATAGTGGGTGACTGGGGGGTAGCCATGACTGATGGTGTGATGCCATTCTGGGAAAACCCAGAACTCTCTGGGAAAACCCAGAACTCTCTGGCTTAGCACATCCTGGAGTATGAATTTCCTGGAGTATGATGGAGTTCCTGGAGTATGAATTTCAATAGAGATAAGTGCAAAGTCCTACACTTAGGTACAAAGTCCTACACTTAGGTACAAAAAATCAAAGGCACGGATATAGAATGGGAGAGACTTGGCTTGACAGCAGCACATGTGAAAGGGATCTAGGTGTTCTGGTGGATCACAGGCTAAACATGAGCCTGCAGTGCGATGTGGCTGTGAAGAAAGCTAATGCAGTCTTAGGATGCATTAACAGAAGCATTGTGTCCAGATCACGGGAGGTGGTAGTTCCACTCTATTCTACTATGGTCAGGCCTCACCTGGAGTACTGTGTCCAGTTTTGGCACCACATTTTAGGAAGGATGTTGACAAGCTCGAGCGTGTCCAGAAGAGGGCAACCAGGATGGTGAGAGGGTTGGAATTCAAGTCTTATGAGGAAAGGCTGAAAGAGGTCCCTGCCACACGGCAGGAAAAACAACGCTGGCGAAAGGACGCGCCGGCGATCCCACGGCCGGCCTTGATGAGGCCTTTCTGGATGAACCACCCAGGTAGGTGGTTTATTTTTGCTGCGGGGTTTTGGGCGGAAGGGCCGGATCGGGGACAGGCGCGCAACGCTTCCCAGATGTTGCGGTGGGATCGCGCCCGTTTGCTGCGCCCCCGATCCGTCCCTCTCCCAACCCAAAACCTCTCGTGTGACCAGGGCCAGAGTTGGGTATGTTTAGCCTGGGAAAGAGAAGGCTTAGAAGGGACATGATTGCAGTCTTCAAGTATTTGAAGAGCTGTCATGTAGAAGATGGAGCAGATCTATTCTCTCTTGCTCCGGATTGCAAGACTAGATCTATTGGGTGGAAATTACAAGGGAGTCGTTACCGGCTAAATGTCAGGAGAAACTTCCTAACTGTAATAGTGGTTGAGCAGTGGAACGGACTGCCTCAGGAGGTGGTGGATGCTCCTTCGCTGAACGTTTTCAAGCGGAGGCTGGATGACCATCTTTTGGGTATGTTGTAGGTATGTAGGGCTATCTTTCAGCTATGCTCCTGCAGAGTGCATGGGGTTGGACTAGATGACCTGCAAGGTCCCTTCCAACTCTAACATTCTATGATTCTATTTTATGATTCTATGATCACTTCAAATAGCAGAACTTTATTATTGATGATGTTTTCAGGACAACAGTTGGCTTCTTTTCTTGCGTTCTGCATTTATGTTTGTTTATGTTTTGGTAAATGGCATTATTATTTTTTTCACTGCCACTCAAATTTGCTTTTGAATATGTATCTTTGGTGTATGTACTGTAACCCCAGTACAACATTTTTCTTGTTTCCCTCCAGAATGGCTTCACTCCTTTATACATGGCAGCTCAAGAAAACCACATTGAAGTGGTGAAATATCTTCTGGAAAATGGAGCCAACCAGAGCACTGCTACTGAGGTACATTACTCAGATTTTGTGAAATGAAGCAAAGGATTATAGAAGTGGTCATAGCTTTATGAAAAGAACAGATTAAGACTAAATTGTACTGAGTTGGTCAGGGAGACAGGGGCAACGAACCGGGATGTTTCCCAGCACTCATTAATTAAGACAGGGTTTCTAAAGTAGTGGCACCTCCCCTGATTATTACCTTCCCTTGAGACTCACTACTGTACTTGCTTTCAGGCCCCGGGCCAAAATGTTTCTTTTTACTCATGCTTTCAGTTAATTGATTGATCTTTTACCACCATTTAATAGTGTGTTTTAGGCCGAACATTGGTGTTCATTTTAAGCTGCTTAATTAGCTGTTTTTATTCTCTGATTGGTTTTTAATGCTGGATTTTAATTGAGAATGTTTTATGCTTTTATTGTATTTAATTTTCTTAGCAGCTTTTGATAAGTCCCCTGGAGAAGTAGCATAAAAATGCCATAAATAAAATAAATAAAAATCTACAGTAATAGTTTGAATAGAACAAACTGTGTTGGTTTCAACACCCTTGAGCAGTTGATAATAGTGCTAAATCTGTCGGAGGATCCACAGTTACCTACAGATTTGAGAATCCAGCACTGACCCCCAACAGGCTTCCTTTATAACCAGCAAGGCCCAAAGCAGGGCCTCTTGGTTGGGGTCTCTCTTCCCTTGTTGCTACCATCAGTGGAAAGGCTGGTGGGCAGGTCAACCACTGCACTTCATTTCCTGAGCTGTGTGGAAATTGTCCTCTCTATCAGGGAACAAGAGAAACAGCAGAGGCTGCTTGTGGCTTCTCATTTGCTCTTCTGAGCACTTAGTGACTCCTCCTTTTTGTTGGCATCTGGGGTTGCTAGCCATGTACTTGCTCTGTTGTCCCCCGGCCCTGACTATGTACTTGCTCTATTGCTTCTCCCTGTATTCTCTTACTTTCTTGTGGTGGTGAGTGAACTGAAGGACCAAGGAGGAAATGGGGCATAGAGGACAGTGAGTAAGCAGTGGAGAAGCTACCTGAAGATGGGGTGTGTGGGATCTATTATTAGGGAATCACCAGAAGGCATTTTGCTGAGGGCCCCAATACCTGGAACACATCCTGAAGACAACTGTTACAGCTTCAGCTGTTGTAGAATAATGGTCTGCTTGAGAAAGACTTCATCAGCATAAATACATAAGAAGAACCATGCTAGATCAGGAAAGATGACCAACTAGTTCAGAACAGTGGTTAGAAAGATGCCTCAAGCAAGCTCTACATGGAGATGTCACCTAGTTATTATTGCTAATTGAAAATACTCCATCACTTGCATTGGATCCCAGTTGCCTTTCAGGCTAAATTCAAGGTACAGTTTATGAACTATGGAACCTAACTAACTTAACATGTCAATTTCCCCCCAGTTATTATTTTTGTACTACAAAATATTCTGAAGCCTATCAATAAAAATGGACCACAGCTTATTCATGGAAACATTCAGTAAATGTCCATAATGCTCTTCCATTTTTGTCTGTTGTGTAATGAGAAGTGGTCCCTGGTCAGTACTTGCATTTGACACCTTCCTTGGTATTGAACTAACCCTCCACAGGGTATTCAAAATGGTATGGCATTTATTTAGTTGCACTTAAGCCAAGCTCGCCTTTTGTTAGCAGCTGTTTCGCTACCCTTTCATTCAGTGGATACTATTGCATTTGATGATGCTTCCTAAAATAATCCTTTCTGTTGCTGGGATGCATTGAGATCATGTTACAATTGCAGCATTGCTATAGTATGAAATCCTAGGTGGTTGCTAAGCAACTGGGAAAAACAGAATTTGCAAATGATTCATGGGACAGTCTTAAAGCCCACAGTTTGTCTTTATCTGTAGCGTGTTAATATAAAGGTGTAGTCTAATTTCATCTAATAAAGTTATTTCACACTATAATTGGGTCTCATTTGAGAATAATATCCTAGTCATATATGCTTCCAATATTAACTCTAAGGGATTCTCTTATTGTACTTTAAACTGGTGACATGACTTTTCAGGGCAAAGGTACCAACAATAATCATCACAGTTAAAGAAGTGCATAATTTCTCTGTCTCTGGAGGACTCTCTTCCTATTTTTCACCATTCCAGACTGCATTTGAAACGGGGGCACATATGGAGCCTTGCACTAGGATTCCTAGGTCTTAGGGTCTGTCCTGACATATAAAGTGACTTTTTCAGATTGGGGGTATCCAGATATGCGTACCAGAAGCACATACTAGCCACAATCCTTCCAGTAAGCACAGTCACCATTTGGTCTGAAATTGGCACCATGTGCATTTTCTGTATATGCTATGATGAACCATGGGTTTATTGTAGTGTGTACTGAAGCAGAAAATACTTTCCGGGTACTTGTGGCTGGACACCTCCAAAGATAACGTTCGAAAAACTTTAAGGTCTACGTGCAAAATAGTTAAACTTCAAGTTGAGAAGCCTAAAGCAAAGGGAAGGCTATTTCCCTAAAAGTTCATCTGTACGTTTCTATAGCATGCAAAGAATGAGGTTCCACAATGGACCTTGAGGTTTTTTTAATTAGCTCCCCTTCTCCCAACCTGCCGGCCACTCCTAGGTTGTGTTCTCTGTTCTCTGAGCTACCCTCTCCTAGCTACCCTCTGAGCTCCTAGTTTCCTGTCTCAAGCAGTCCTAAGCAGGTCCACCCAGAATCCTATCTGGGGGGAATTTAAACCACACATATCTAATATAATTCCTTGGAGTGTGGCTACAGAAAATCTTTCAAAATCTTTTAGCAGACATTAGAAAAGAGCAAGAGTGCAGTAGCACCTTTAAAGACTAACAAAATATGTGGCAGACATTGTCCTGTATCTTCCCATGAACTTCTAGAATTATTTTTCCCAACCTAAATATTAAAGGAATTTTTTTTTTCTTGGTAGAGAAATTCAAAATCTGCAATATCTTTCTGATATATTCTGTTATACTTGTATGCTAAGCCTTTTCTCAGCCTAGTATAATACCAGTCTTGAAGTGCCAGCTGTGTCTCCAATTGCCAGTTGTTCTCAAAATTAATAGGACAGAGTTTAATATCTGAAGAATATCTGAAATTATTCTGATGTGAAATGTGGCATCATATGTATTTGGAGATAGGCCTCAGCATGCTGAAATAAACAGAGTTTGGATATGGGTGTGGAAAATTCCATTTCTGTCTCAGAGACTAATAAGTACGTAGATGCATTGATATACTTTTTGTGGGGGCTCTTGGCTATTTGGAAAGGGTTGTTTTGATTCTGGCTTCATGTAGAGCATTGTCTTTCTGCTGCAACAGGATGGCTTCACTCCCCTAGCAGTTGCGCTGCAGCAAGGGCACAATCAGGCAGTGGCTATCCTCCTGGAGAATGATACCAAGGGTAAAGTACGGTTGCCTGCATTGCACATTGCTGCCAGGAAAGATGACACCAAATCAGCCGCGCTTCTGCTCCAGAATGATCACAATGCTGATGTTCAGTCCAAGGTAAAAATTCATTCTTCTTGATGGTGCTGGGATGTATGTAGCCCAGGTGGGTGCCTCAGGGGGTCTTTAGTGTATTATCCAGGTTTGTCACTTGCCAAGGAGCTGTAGCCAATCACAGCTCCCCGAGGGTGTACTTACATCATTTTCATCACATTTATGCTTTACATTTCCAGTGTGCAAATAAAACATCTTATGTGTATGCCTGTAAAGTGTAATGCATGAAGTAGTAGCACTAAGACCGACATATCCATTTCATTACTTCAAAAAAGTTTCATGCAAATAATACTTGCTTACTCCATCTATGATAATGGTTGCTGAAACCAGTACCTGCAATACTAGCTCTTTTCTTCATGGTGGACCTGCAAGACAAAATGAAGCAGATTTTCAGAGGCACAAATAATGTTGCAGTTTTAAGTTTACCTTTCCCTGGAAATCAGTGGGGATTGGGCACTTTCGGACTTTGAAAATGTACTCCAGTGAAAACACCGTTTAAATGTTCAAAATGTCAAATTCAAACTTTGAAAATTGGATCATCTTGTTGCCCTTCCTTGTTGCTATTGTGCTCTTATGGACAAAATTCATAAGTAATAAAACCTGGACTGTGCAAGCAATGTGCAAATAGGGACTGAACTGTGTGGTGACCCAAAAAGGATGCCAGCTAGACACACACCCAGAAGCAGAAAGCTTTCCTGTATGTTGTGCCAATGGTTCCTGGAAGTTACCTGCCCTCTTGTCTGCTGTAAGATCCCTAGCCATGTGAAGCACTGTAAACCCAGAGAGAAGACCAGAGACAAAGAAATCCAAACGCCATGAGAGGCCTCTTCCGACACATGCAGGCAACATTCCCCTCCCCCACAGAGTCTCACCTAGCTGAAAGGCGACAGGCAGAAGACAGTCACAGAATCTTAATGACAAAGACTCTGGCCGCATGAGTCATAATCCCTTCAGGTGCTACTGCTCAGCCCAAAGTTGCTAGATCTCAATATTGTCCATTCCCTTAATCTCCTCCCCCTAAACCCTGCCCCAATAGGATGTTTTTGGGATGGACTAGAAGGAGGTGGGCCAAGACATGTGACCTGCCTGGCCCAACCCCCCAGGCCCCCCTCTTAAAAGAGGGCACTCAGCTATGTTTACTCTCTCTTGCTCCCTCTCGCAACTAACCCCTACGTATCTCATTGGCTCTGGATTAGCTACCCAAGAGTCTATCCACGTGTCTTTGCTGGCCTAACCCCATTTCCCTATAGTCTCCCTCATTTTTTCCTAAGGATCGTTCCATCCTGTTGTGGACAGGTAATTGTATTACCCCTCAACGAAACACCCTGCTAATGCGAAAGTGCTATCTTCCTCTATCTAATTTTCTTAGAACTGTATAATTGTGAGTGTGTTTGTGATATTGTATGCTTGTGAAAAATCTACAGTAAAGGAAATCTTTTTATATTGAAATGTGCCTCTGAGTCTATTCCTGGTGAGCTGGGAAAAAGCGGGACCCCTGTATACACTGGTGATTGCTCCCTTATTTTGCCTATTGCCCTTAATTTCCCCAAATATCAATTAGAATCAAGGCAATTTGGCTAACAATCTCTCAATATAAAACAAGCACTGAAGTGGAATTGCTAGTGAGTAGGATACTGGTTTGTGACCCATGGGAAATGTGGGTTGCATATGTTCAATATAAAACTTAACTCATGCTTGTCAGGCTTTTTTCCATAACAACAAAATAATTCATTCCAGTGAACAGCTTAGTTCTCTGTCCTCTTGCCAATCTGTAATATCTTTCCTCTTTTTTCCAAAACATGCTGCAACAGATGATGGTGAATAGGACAACTGAGGTACCACAAACAATATTTTTTAACCTATTACAACCCCCCCCCATATCCTTAAGGATAATTGCTTAGTCTTTAGTACCATTGGCAATTCAAACTGAATCATATGTCATTTCTAAGTATGTACTGATGGAAGAAATATATATTGTCTTGAGATGGTCTCAAAGCATTTCAGCTAAAAGGAAATGGGAGCTGGAAATAGGATTGGCGCATAGAAGCATTTCTAAGTACAGTGCAAACTATTGTAATATTAACCCGTCTTCACAGATGCAGATCTGAAGCGTGGTTGTAGGTTTGTTGTTCATTGTATGTTGGAACTGAGCTGCCAATCAATGCAGTCACAAATTGGTCAGTACAATTTGTCAGAAGCAAAGTTAACTGTTTGCTGTCTGTGATTTCTCAAAACAATTTTATGTTTCATCTTGAGATAGTGATGACATAATGTTAAGTGCAGACACACGGACCATTAGACAACTCCTGATAACTAGGTGAGTGTCATTTGGCTCCCAGCCAATGCCCAATAATAACAAAAACCTGGAGAACCCCAATTGTCAGAGTGGGAATTTTCAAATAAACAGTTAGGGGAAATGCTCTATGTTGTCCTTTTCTAGATAACACCAGTCGTTGAGTTACAATTCAGGTGGGTAGCTGTGTTGGTCTGAAGCAGCAGAACAAAGTTTGAGTCCAGTGGACTCAAACTTTGGCCAGCTCCCACCACAGTCCCAAATTGCTATCCCCCAAAGGGAGGTGTGTCAACTGAAATTATGGTTTGATGATTCTTATGTAATAAGAAACTGCAGTTTGTCCAAACTGTGATTTGTTAGACATTCTCCAACCTACCACTGATGGAAGTTCTGTTTTGGCATCTGCTCTCCAGCTATGGTTTCATTAGTTGTCTGAACAAGTTATAACTATGATGTGTCGTCATGTCTGAAATAGAGTAAGAAATACAGAGGTCAAAATAGGAGAAGGCATTCCAGATCTCAGCTACTTGAGAGGCAATGTGTCCTGTCTGTCAATTGATTACCGAGATCTTTCATGGTCTTTCAAGTATATGCAGCCTTCCAGACCTTCCAGTGCTTCAAAGAGGCATGTCCGCTGGGCTGCTTTAAGATTGCCTGTGAGAGCCTCCTTCCATCTATCAGCAGGTGCTGTGAAGATATAGAGGTTGCAGTGATAAGCTACTTGGAGAGGCTTATTCATGTACCCACCTTACAATTACTTGTGGGATTTCAACAGCTACAGCAATATTTTCAGCTTAAATCAATGGAACAATTTACGGGGGACAATTCCATATTGCAGCACCCTAGAAATGGCAGTTGTCTTCATAGCTGCAATGTATGTTTAAACCATACATCAGCTCGTATACCTTTTGTTCACACATTAGCACAGTTACCACCTGCATCATATACCGCTGTCATGCCAGTGCTGAATTTTTACCAGTAGAGCTGAACTGATTTCTCAGAATAAAATCCATGTAATACCTTTTATGAGACCAACTAAATTAGCAGAGCATACTGTGCAAGCTTTTAAGTTTTTCAGGGGGCTTCTGTTTTCGTGCCAAAGATCTCTATGTTCAACGGAAGAGGTGTGCTTATTTGTCAAAGAGACATGTAAATTATTCTTAATATGCACAGTCATAAGGGCTTGGGAAGCTTTTACAGACGGTTTTATGCCATTGTGGTATAATGGTGAGAGTGATGGACAAGGATTTGGGAGAATCAGGTTCAAATCTGTATTCTGCCTTGAAAGCTCCCTGGGTGACCTTGGACCAGTCACTCTCTCTCAGCCTAACCTTCCTCACAGAGAGTTGGTTCTTGTGGGGATAAAATAGAGGATATAATAATGTTGTAAACTGCTTTGAGTTTCTATTTGGAGAAAAAGGGGGGGTATAAATGAATTAAAAAACCAATAATAAATGAGGCAGTCTTTGCTCAGTCATGTCAGGCAGTTTCCCCGAAGCTGATGCTTGAGTTTAAGGATTGCAAAGGCTTCCTAAGGCTTGCTGTGAGTTTGCTCAGGGTCTACGTATCTTTCTGAAGCTTTTTGAAAAGGCTGTTCAGGTCTTGTGTGGGGGGACTGCCAAAAATGCATTGGAAAATGGAAGCTATTTTAATTCCATTTATGTGTGGTTTATAGAAAGTATGGAAATCATTTGAATGCAATTACATATCTTATTTTGTGATCTTTGCACTGTTCCATTTATTCTAATATGCTTGGTTATACTTGGAATAAGGCATGGAAAGACGCTGCTGTTCTTTCCAGAGCAGTACTTAAACTGTGCAATGGAAGATCTACAAAAGCAAGTGATTATTGATCAAAAGCACAATATTAAGGTAGTAGAGTCATAAACATCTGCATAGTTTGTCTCTGTAGCAAGGCCAAGAACAAATACATTTGGGGATTTTCATCCGAATATTTTGGCTATCATGAAAAGAAAAATACTATATTAAATAATTAAGCGGTAAAAATAGTGTTTTTGTCTATCTGTTGTTGAAAAAAGATACAATTCATTCTTCTACTTTACTAGTAAGTTGACTTGAGAAAAAATAATGCTTTGGATTAATGTGGCACCAGCTTTTTAAAGGTGAACATCAGAACCTGATGTTCCTGATTAGGACTCTTTCATTTTTACAGAGTGGCTTCACACCTTTGCACATAGCAGCACACTACGGAAATGTTAATGTGGCAACGCTTCTACTCAACCGAGGAGCTGTTGTGGATTTCACAGCAAGGGTATGGAGAGTTTTCTTTTCATAGGTGGAATGGACAGTGAAGTGAACAGGTTGATTTGTTTCTTTAAATGTGTAAATTAAGAAACAGAATGGCCTTGACTTAGATAGCCCAGGCAAGCCAGATCTCGCAAGCTAAGCAGGGCTGACCCCGGCAAGTATTTGGATGGGAGACCTCCAGAGAATACCAGGACCAGGAGGCCAGAGGCAGGCTATCAAGCCACTTCTCTGAATGTCCTCCTGCCCCTAGGAGTCACCAGAGGTCGCTGGAGTAGTACACAAAAACCCTGCTTATAAGTTGTTAATAGCATTGGTCTGCTGCTAAAGATGAGGAACAGGGAACTGGATTTAGTCCCATTTCCCAGCCAAAAAGATGAACACAGTTACCTGTTGTTTGAAAAGACTACATGTAGTCAATCCAGACCTGCATACATACACAACTGAACTGAGTTCTCTGAGCATGGGTTATTGTTTCAATAGCTACATAGTTATCTAGCTAGCTACATGTATTAAATGGCTTTGCA